CAAGGTCTACTTCAGACACGTGTGCTTTCCCTGGAACAGGCAATGGGGACAGTTAGCATGCAGCAGAACACAGGAGACCTCCTACAAGGCTCTAGCTTTTCCACAGTGCACAGAGACCTGACAGGCAAAGAGAGCGTCTCTGCTCACACTTGAGGAGATGCAATATCTACTCTAATAAATGAAATGGTGCCTATGAACTGGCCCACAACCTCCCTGGGCCCGTTCCCGTGTTTGACTATCCTCATGGAGAAAAAGGTGTCCCTTGCCCTTTCTTTAGGCACCTCCAAGAAGAGTCTGGCTCCATCTTCTCTACCCCTACCTGCAAACAGCGATACACGGTTGTCTCCTGCTCTTAAGGCTGAAGACATCCAGCTCGCAGCCTCTCCGCACACATCACGTGCTCCAGCCCCAGACCAGCTTGGTGGTCCTGCTCCAAAACACTGAGGTTGGGTTTTGTCCAGGGGAGGCCAGGATGGGGCTCAGCAGTGCTGACCAGAGGCGAACAAGTCTCTCCCTCAAACTGCTGGCTGCCTGCTTGCTCACACACCTCAGAGCGCAGCTGGCCTCCTGCGCAGCACAGCCACGGCGCTGTCCCCACGCACTGACACACTCCCACGGAGCAACAGCAGCGAGGATCCTCAGGGATTCACAAACCTCATGGGTTCAGCAAGGCCAAGTGCGCCTGGGTCAGGGAATCCCCAGTACCGATACAGGCTGAGGGATAAAGGGCTTGAGTTGCTCACACACCTCAGAGCGCAGCTGGCCTCCTGCGCAGCACAGCCACGGCGCTGTCCCCACGCACTGACACACTCCCACGGAGCAACAGCAGCGAGGATCCTCAGGGATTCACAAACCTCATGGGTTCAGCAAGGCCAAGTGCGCCTGGGTCAGGGAATCCCCAGTACCGATACAGGCTGAGGGATAAAGGGCTTGAGAGAAGGACTTGTGGGTACAGGTGGATGAAAAGCTGGAGAAGAGCCACCAGTGTGCGCTCGCAGCCCAGAAGGCCAACCGTGCCCTGGGCGGCATCCCCAGCAGCGTGGGCACAGGGCGAGGGAGGGGACTCTGCCCCTCTGCTCCACTCTGGTGAGACCCCCCCGGGAGTCCTGTGTCCAACTCTGGAGCCCTCAGCACAGGACAGACCTGGACCTGTTGGAGTGGAGCCAGAGGAGGCCCCAGCAATGATCCGAGGGCTGGAACCCCTCTGCTGTGAGGACAGGCTGAGAGAGCTGGGGCTGGTCCGCCCAG